GAGAATATACTGAAACAGAATTATTATTCTTTGAGAAAGCACTTTCTAAACACGACATCTGATAGTGATTAATGAGTGATAATTAGGTACTTGAAGTAAAAGAGTTACAAAAAATTAGCATTAAAAGTTTCAGGGATGAGTCTGCTTCAGTAAAAAGAGGAATCTCTTATAATCACAATGATAGTAAAATAATTACTGTAACTTTTATGGTTATGGAGAAAAAGGTACACAAAGTTTGCCTAAAATACATGGCGGGTTATAAAGCTTACCCTGACTCAATTGGCAGCTCCCATCACAGTTCTATTTGCTTGTTTGTAGAATTCCCCTCCGAAAGAGAAATATGCTGCGTTAGGGCAGAACTCTTTCAGACGGCAAAGTTCACCGGTGCCGACGTTTGTCCTTTTGCTGAGGTACTCATCTTCCTCCAGGGCGGTTCGGGCAACTGAGATCGCGAGGGGTACAAGCATACTCGTGAACAAAGAAACGACATCGAATGACACGAAGATCTCGTAGCTGCTGATTGTCACCCCTGAAATATGATGAACAAAATGGGTGGCATTTCTCAGATGTGTGGCTGTCTTCCCCACTAGTGGTGATAGGGTCCTGTTCATACAGCATGAAGTGGGGATGTTCTGAAGTCAATTATCGGGCGTAGTGGTCCCCGGTTTATGGATCTTTGGAAGGCCATGAAGTACCTATGCCGAACCGTTGCTGCAGATGAGGCTTAGTAGAGCGTTCTTTACTGTGGGTGGTCTTTAAAAATGTCACCTAATAGCTTGTTTAGCCCCCATTGAATCCTGGTCGAAGGGTCTTTCGTGATTTTCACGTATTCAGGGTTGTTCAGAAAGCATTTACCTTGTTGCCATGAGATTTGTCAATCAAATTGAACAGCTCCAATTACCTTTTTTTTTTTTTTTTTTTTGCTGGCATGATGGTTATAGTTGGGCCTTTTCAGAATTCTTGAAAACTGCTTGTTCAGGTTTTGTTAGGTTCTCCCGTGGTCGTGCTGGTAGCTTCAGTAGGATTCCAATGGCTTTGAGCCTTACGTCGTCTCTTGCCTCGCTGTCTATGCCTTGTATGCCATCTTCAGCAGCTGCAACAATCTGTGGCAGAGGTGACGGAGTTGTGTTGAAATTGTGTTTTTTTAGACAGAACGCTTGCCTAATGCTCCAATAGTTGTCTTCATGAGAAATTCATGACACTTTTGGCGATTTTATTTTTGTTCATGGGCTCTTGGCAGCTTTTCAATGCAGCGAGTTTACCGTTTAAGGATTTTTACTCTCAGATTAGCCAAACCTGAGATGTATCAACCAGAAGAACCACCTCTCCTTCATGAAGTGCTAGGACCTGAACGTGATACCACACAGCTTACGTCTCAAGTGCCTCACACGCCAGAAGGAAACAATATCAAGGCACAAGCCAAATTCTGCTTAGTGAAAGCCCCTGTGCACGAATTCTACAACATCATCAGGAAGAAAGAACTTCACTTAAACTTTGCCACAGCAGAAAACTCAGCAAAAAACGATTGATTAATTCACTGCTTGATATGTGGGGTTCACCATCCCAAAACTACCATATGATTATGAGAGACGTCATAGTGGAGGGCTCCAGAAATTTCGACCACCTAGGGTTCTTTTACGTGCACCTAAATCGGAGCACACGGGCCTTCAGCATTTTCGCCTCCATCGAAAATGCAGCTGCCGCTGCCGGGATTGGATCTCGCGACCTGCAGGTCAGCAGCCGAGTACCTTAGCCACTAGACCACCACGGCGGGGGACTCAGCAAGGAATGAGTCACTGTCATTGTAAACAGCAACGCTTCCGACACAGAGAAGCTCCCGCTGCTGGTCATTGAGAAATCGAGACACCCTCAATGTTTCTGATTGATTGATATGTGGGGTTTAACGTCCCAAAACCACTATATGATTATGAGAGACGCCGTAGTGGAGGGCTCCGGAAATTTCGACCACCTGGGGTTCTTTAACGTGCACCCAAATCTGAGCACACAGGCCTACAACATTTCCGCCTCCATCGGAAATGCAGCCGCCGCAGCCGGAATTCGAACCCGTGACCTGCGGGTCAGCAGCCGAGTACCTTAGCCACTAGACCACCGCGGCGGGGCCCCTCAATGTTTCTAAAAAAAAAAAAATATTTGCCTGTCTGGTAAAAAGCCAATACAAAGACATGGGTCACACATAAGTTGTTTGAAGAGTATGTCCAAAAAATGACCCGAAAATCTGAATCGTAGACGTCCAAGGTCCGTCTGTTTGACGACAACTGTACTGCCCACACGTCAATCAGCTGTCTGAAAGCCATTAAGCTAGCACACCTGCCGCTGAATACACTAGCATTCTGCAGCTGATGCACTAAGGTATCAAGAATTTGAAGGTGGTGTATCATTCACACATACTGCAGTGCATGTTGCTGTTTAGAGTCAGATGAAACACAATGTTGACTGATGTCAGCCGTGAGCATGCTTGCTGATGCCTGGAAGGCAGTGTCCGCAGGCACGATCAGCAACTGCTTCCAGCAAGCTGGATTGACATTAAGTAGTGAGCCCGACAGTGCAGCTGAAGAACCCGACAATGAAACTGAAGAGCTGGACCTGCCGCTCTGCGCAACTAGCTCAAGTGCGGACGTTACTAACGACCTGCTAGGCTGCGGTAAGCCGATTTCTGACACAGTTACATTTGAAGATTTCGGAAATGTCGACAGTGCTGTGTCGTCGTGTGCCGAATTGAATGACGATGACATAATTGAGCAGGTTCTGCAACCACCAAACAGAGATTCCAAATTTGATGATGGTGACGTAACCATGTGCTCAGGAGGCGTCCCATGCAGACCTGTCTCGAGCTCTCGCTGTTCTTTCGCCATCGTACAGCGAGCGTACCACACTGGCAGAGATACAGGTGGACTTGGTTGCACGTAAACGGGAGTGCATGCAGCAACACATCGACAGCTTTTTCCAGCCACCAGGCCACTGAGCACCAATAAAAGTTCTTTTTTTTTTTCTTACGCATTTGCTTTTTTTTACGGATTAATTTTTTAGGACATTCGATGATTCGGGCTCAAGTTCCCTGTGGAGTTGGAATTATCAGTTGTCGATTGTAGGAGCATACTAATGCTTCAACACAGGGGTCTTAAACTCACCTAAGCCAGCAGGTCGCACCCATGCAAGTTAGTCCTGCAAGGGCCATGAAAGTGAAGAAAGTAGGAGGGGAGGGATGTATAAATTATAATAATTGTTTGGGTTTAACATCCCAAAATCAGAATATGATTATAGAGACGCTGCAGTGGACGACTCCAGAAATTTAGACCACCAGAGGTTCTTTCAACATGCACCTAAATCTAGGCACGCAGGCCTCAAGTACTTTTGCCTCCATCAAAAAAGTGGCTGCCGCAACTGCAATTCGATCCCACGACCTGCAGGTCAGCAATAAGCCCCATAACCACTAGACCACCATGGCATGTGGGCATATGAATTCTCAGCAATGTTGCCATTTAAAAAAACTTTTCCGAATCTCATATAATGATGGTCATTTCTGAAGCAGATTAGGTGCCCTGACTTAACACTATGTTGATATTGACCCCTAAAATGGCCAAAATCTGCACACAGATTTTAAATATAGTTTTTGTTTCTAACACATGGTGACTACATGGGCGCCTCAGGAAAATAATACTTTAGACCAGTCCTGCCTGTGTAGCTTGCGAACATGCATATTTATTCAGAAAATAAAAGAAGCTAAGGCGAACTCAGTCAAGTGCTGGCCGTGGAAGTAAGAGGTTCGCGGGCCGTATGTTTGAGACCCCTTATTTCACACGTTTTCATTATCACTTTGACAGTTCGAGTTAGTCTGCAGTGAATGTATGTTTAGTTAATTTTGTACATTTTTCGAAGTGCCGAGCATGTCTGACATCGTGATCTACCACGAGTTTTGTCGGAGTACATTGCGCAGAGCCACACAAAACTGTGACAGCCTGGAAAATGAATTTTCCAAACACCTAGTTTTTGTACATTTTGTTACATATATGACTTTTTAGTAATGTTTGATTGCTCTTTTAATAATGACTTCGGCATTGTTCTCCCCAACATTCTAAGAACCTTCTCCTCTGAGAGACAAGGTTTGAATTTCACCCATGAATTGACAAAGGACAACCATATTTAGTTAAGATATTCAATTACATTTCACCAATGGCGACATTTGTTGGCCGTATAATCTGAGATTCAACAAAAGCCTACTAACTTTCATGACTGAACATTTTGAACCTGCAAGACCGTGACACGATTATGTCTAGCTGCCTTTCTGCCTTCCAATGCCCTTGTGCCCATATAGCATCATCGAGCTATCGGTGGCTGTTAATTAGTAGCACGTCCGAAAGCCTGCTTAATGAATTAAGAGAAACCATTGACCAAAAACCACCTTTCGTCTTATTTCACAAGGTCACACAAGGTCACACAACGTGAGGGATTCTCATCGTTTTCTCGGCGCCTTGCAAGCTTAAACATGTGTGCCCACTTTTGACTGTCATGCAAGAAGAACCATCAGATGAAGTTCACTAGCAGCATTTGTAACGTTACCCACAAGATACCTCTCGCCAACTAGCCCTGCACACAAGCCTAGATAGAGATGGTATCAGCTATTTTGGCACCGATATCGTTTACTCCCACACGAACAAGGTGCTCATAAAAACATTATATGATCCGTATAAAATATGCATACCTTATCAAACATATTCAAAAATCTTTTCAAAACCAGAACCACTGCAAAACGTTCCGCCACCATGCAGTCAGGTCAACATCTGTCAAAGCCTCAAGAAATCTGTAGGACCTGCTGTTTCTGCTAGACTATTTGTGGCACCTATTTATCATATTCTTTTGAAATTAAAATGTGCAACCATTTTGAATCTGCTATTATTATTTGCCATGCTCTCAATAGTACAACAGACTGCAGAAAAATTATTTTAGTACACTTACTTTTAAAAAATGCCTGCAACACTTACCGGCACACTTGAAGCACTCAACGTGAAAGTAGCGATCTTGAACACGTAGTGCATTCCCTGAGCACTTCTTTTTGCAAAGTTCACACACCACTTTCCCTGCAAGAGAAGAAACAGACGTTGCAGTTTCTCAAACTATCATAGGAAAGAGATGTCTCCATAAGCATATCAGATAAGGCAGAAAACACTTGGTTACCACTTGCTGCAACACTGATGACTTCCGTTTTCTACAGAATAATTGGTGCTGTCAATAACTAGTGTAACGGCAACAGGGCTGGATAAAAATGTTTGCTCTGCCTAAAACATGCATGTGTTCTAACAAAAAATATCATGATGCGTTTATAACTTAGCGGTGCATGGGTCAGGTCTGGCCAAATAGTGCAAAAAAAATTGTTTTACATGCAACATCATAGAGAATGGGAAGGTGGTGCCATACTGATACGTCAGGAGCAACGCTGTGGAAGCTAGGCAACAAGTTCAGTCAGCAAAATGTCTTCATTACTCCTCCTTAGCCTGATTAGTTACGGCGGCATGCTGCTAGAGCTAATCACACACAGGCGAGAAATTTATGCTTCCAGTAGAACCTATAGATGATGAGGCTTGCTTCTAAGGTACAATGCACGTTCATGTGCCTAAAAACAAAAAGAATCACATTACAGGTAGTAAATTCCTTGAGCTATTTCTGCTGTGAGAAGTCCTGCTAGCTTCGTTTAGTTGTAGCAGATGTATGAAACAGAGCATACGGCTGCCTAAAAATTAACCACTTCAGAATATACACTACACCTGATGTATTCATTCTAGGGTGTGTACACATAGGCACAAGAAAAGTCAAGACACCGACTAACAACCATAGGTAGGCAAAGGAATCTTAACTCACTCAACAAATATCAATTGCTCTAAGCACTCACTAGGGCTCACACTCACCAAAATTTTTCTCAGCCAGACTCACTCAAACAGATACTATCGAAGGGACCAGCAACCAATTTTTACGGTACCTATATTCTTCAGCACAATAGAAAGTTTACCAGTCAGAGTGCCTAATGACAGAATGGTAACGTGGAATACGTCGTGAAACATTTGTAATCAAAATTTCTCTATCTGCAGTGAATATAAAGTCATATATACATGTGACAAGATATGCTGTAAATAGTGAGCAAGATAGCGGTTCGTGTTCGAGCGCAGCGGTTGACTGCGCATGCATGCACTCCACGTGCATATGCCACACTTCGACTTGGTTCGCTGGAAGCCGCGAAGGCAGCGCCGCTTGTCATCATACAACTCCTTTTACCTCACAAGCAACACAGAATTGAAAGGGGCTGGATATAATACACATACTCTAATTTTAAGGAATCATACGGATGACAGTATCAGTCTACACGACTACGCACAGCAAAGTTATCGACTCCATATTCCATAAACCCAGCTTCAAGGCTCTTCTGCGAGGCTGCACAATAACGGTTTTTGTTACATTTAAGGACTATTTAAAAAATGAAAGATCCTAGTCATAATTAGAACAGAATGCTGGAATCAGCCACTATATCTCACGGTCTTTTCATTCCTAATAGGACCCATTCACACGTTCTCACCAGTTCTCGGTCTTTTTAAGCATGACTAACTCAGACTCCGACTCCAGGCTTTACCAGAGTCCGAGTGAGTGAACTGATGATTCTGTTAGGTTTTTCAGTCTTTGTGTCAAAGCTTTTTATTGCCAGTACCACAAGTAATCGGTGTTCTACAAAATTTCTTTATATCTTGTACCTTCAAATATGTGTTATAAATATGTGTTATAAGGGTTCAATCCAGTAAAAACATTGATGAAACTCTCTACTCGCACGAGATATCTTTATCAAGAACTCCTCCTGAAAGATCATGTGGGGGAACGTTATGGCGCCCCCACTTTTTAACTCATGCCTTGGATCAGCAAATATTAGGAAGCGCATTGTTGAGACAGATGTTGAAAGATTTGAGTACAAACTTAAGCTGATGTAACGCTGATAGTAATGCTGATGATGGGTAGATAGGACCATGGGTCAGCAATCAAAGGTGGAGCCTACTCAGATCCACTCACAAAATGTTTTTTGCCCATAGGCCTCACTCAGACTACCCAATATTTACCTCAGCCAGTATCTATCACACTCAACTGGACTCACTCTGACTCACGGCCCCATTTGAGTCTAAGTGATTTGACTCATGAGTTTGCAGACCTATGCAAACAACTGGTGCACAACCGTGGAAAACAAAGAAGGCATGAAAACTTGACAGTGCATGCCCATGCAATATAAATCTGGCACAGTTCCATGAAACACTCAAAGGAGCACTGACAAAAACTCTGCACCTTGTTTTTTTTCTCCTTGATAGATTGTTTGAATCTTTTGTTACCGCACAAAAATGGTTAATTTTCATATGTCTCGGGACGATCGTTTATGCCAGTTCAAAGAGTACTTCAGCACGTATTGCAGCACACAAAATTTTTTGCAATGAAATGCTCTTTCTAAAAAATATATGTTGTAGAGCCACAAAAAAATTTTGGAATGAATAAAAATGTGAAGCGTGTACTTTTTGGTTGCCAGCTGGTAAACAGTGCAATAAAAAACACTATATGTAAAAAAATATTGAAAACAAAGAAAATTCAGAACATAGATTTTGAAGAAAAATGACCCAAGAACAGTACAAAAATAATAATATTCTACAAAAAGTTTTTATTCACATGGTCAAAGAAAACCAGTACAGATGTGCTGCTTAACCCCCTATTTCATGAATTATGAAAAGTCATTTTAAAATTATTTTTCAGCTTTTATTATTGATTGAATGTGAACCTAAACATGTACAAAAATTTTCAGAGTTTTAATGGCTGTATTAATAAAGATACAGCGTTGTGCCAAGTATGGCACACCATGAAGATGACGGAGCAGTCTTGCTGCCATAGGCAAAAAACATAGCATCGTGTAAGGTGATTTTTCTAGCGTGATGAGTAAAATGAAATTAAATAGTAGTTAGCTGCGTTCAGGCACATATAATTGTTACACCTCCTGCACCTTACTGACGACTTCTTTGTGCAAGATGGCCGCTTACATCTTTGTCTCTTCCGATCAAATTCTGGCCAGTGGCCGACTGTCAGATCGGACATCTTTGGGGGGCATGGTTGCAGCCAGCCCCTTGCTTTTCTGGCTTGAACCTTGAATTCCATGTCTTTCTTAGAAGGCCTTCCTGGTCGCTTGTTGGGTAGGCACTTGTTGTGAGAGGTAAGACATTCTGCAATTTCAGTTTTCATTTGAGACTGCAGTAGTAATTTTTTCTTCCCAAGCTGCTCCTGTACCCTCTTGTACCGTAACCATGCTGCTACCATCGATAAGTCTAACATAAGAGTAAAAATTCGAACATGCTACTTCTTCGACCTGATACGCATGCGGTATAGTCCAAACAGCGAGTCCAGCAGGTTGACTCCGCCTATATGTCTGTTGTAGGCTTTACTACACTGGGACAATCATTCTAACGAAACTTCTTGACTAAAGTAAACCAGCGCTTAGTCTTTTGGCCTGGATCTTTCCCAACAAAGCTAGACAGAAATGATACGGCACGGTTGTAGTACTAACGCACATACATTAACTCCAAATCATCTATCCTTATTGTTAGTTCCTCTGAAGCACCATGTCATTTCAGTTCCTTTTCGCTTCTCAGGCAGCAGTTTGGTAGACAATTGGCCCTCAAAGTACCTAGCCACAAAATTGCATCTTGTGAAAGAGTGACCTGTGATAATGTGGACGCATTCGTTGTGCTTTCGTGCTAGACCTTCACCACATAACACTTACATTCCTTCCCGCGCAATTTCCTACTATATGCAACATGGTAAATGCTAGTTTGCGGTGCTCAGCCGCAGTTTTGGAGGAAATTGAATAATCTAAGCTCAAAGGCTACGCATTACATATATTTGTTTTGCATTTTACTGGACAAATGGCACCATGATACCAATTTTGTCTTTCAAGTTCATACTGTGCCAAATTTGTCACGCACCGATATTGGGTTCTGTGGCGTAGTTGCGGAAAAACTTCAGAGAACTAATAAAAAGCTTGAATTTATGAGATCACAAAGTATGCCAAAATATTTTTTCTGTGTTTGTGAGGTAAAAATGTTCATAAAAAATACCAATTTCCTGTGTTTGCCTTCTCCGAGTTGCACGACACATTGCAAAATGCACTTGTCTCTATTTCGCTTATCATTCAAGAGATATGAAATTACTTGCAAATCATAAAAGTGCATAACTGCGAATTACTCTAACGATAGCACATTCTCAAGTGGATAGCCCCCATCCGTACGAAAAAAATGGTAAATGATATGTGCCAAATACGGGGGTTATTTGCTCGAGCCATGCGATGAAGCATTGCCTCGTTTTTCATTAGACACAAGTGAACTCGTATACATTTCTCTCTCAATAAATTTGTTTTCTTGGGATAAGAGCCTTCAGGTGTTCCAACACAGATAGATTCCAGTGATGTGAATAGTCTCTCAATAAATCAGCTGTCTACTGAACTTTGTTATTTCGTCCAGCATCACCTCTGTCCATGAGCCACCTTTCTCCACCTAGAGGATATATCATCCAAGCTTTTTTCTTAGCATTTTGCATATCATACTATAAAAAGAGCAACATCACAGTATGGGAATTTAGGCTAGCCCGCTGCCTTTGTGCGGGCTTTGCCGCCTTTTCTGCCATTCTCGTGTCCAGACATCACTCCCCTCCCCCACTGTCTGCCCCGCTGGGAGAGCGAGGAGTGACGCTTAACCCCTCTCACGTGTGACGATAGTTATAGCGCGAGAACCAAAGGGCGACACACAGACAAGAAGGACACGAAGGACACAAGCGCTAACTTCCAACTGAGTTTATTACGCAGAGCACGAAAATATATAGAGGAGACAGTAACCATGTGACAAAAACCATATGGCACAAAGAGCAAAACATGAGTAAGGGAAAAACAAAACAAAAGCACAGAAAAAGGCAAAGAAAAGTCTATAAGGAAACGAAACAGAAAAGTAAAGATAATATAACTACTTGCGCGCACCGAAACCTTCGAGGAACCTTAGTTCCTTCTCCGACAGAGACACGG